TCATCCATTCACATATTGGAAATGATTCATCAGAAAACTTACATAACCATACGAGTCAGTGTCCCGTATAAAGAGGGAAAACTCTAATATTTCTTCAAATTTTACAATGACAACAAATAACATATTAGAATCATGTGCAAAACAGTGTAGACGAGACCATTGATTGGCGCGCTAAAATATCCCACTGACTGGGTCAGATTAGGTGAACGTTCGTCTCTAACGCCCACAACTCACGGCGTATTTATTACAGACATTTAAACTGTGGGGTTGCCAAAGGGTCTCAGTGCCTAAATAAAATAATTCGAAAAACTAATCAGGAATAACCTTTGTGTTTTGATTTATATTGAATACTTAAACGTTCTTTACTTGTGTTTTTGTTATGTTTTGATAATCAATTTTTATGATATCGCACGTTCTTTCAGCAAAAAAGGATTTAACTGGCTTTAAAAGTTACAATGCATGTGTTGATTATTATCTTTTATTCGGACGTCAAAGCGATTTAACAATTGCGGTTGTCTAATTATGTCATCTTTTAACTTTTATCTGGTCAAAATTTTATTTTAGAACGAATGCATGGTCAACTTTGAAAAGTGTGCAAACACAAAACAAATAGACAAAATATACTTCTTTCCTGTCTTTTTCGAACTTGCAAGTTATTAGACAGTAATAGGGCTATTTGGATCAAGCCTTGTGAAATTTGCATTTACGTGTTTGAATAGGTGAAATGTATAGTTTGGTGAACTTTTCTGCTAACTACTATACTTGTGAAAAACCCTTGGCAACAGAAACATATTCATTTTTTTTAATCGACCCAATTTACATAGTATACATGGACGACTTCGTACATTTTATGATCACAAATAAAATATGTATATAATATACTGTGCACTGTAGTTCGTATATATACTTTGGCAACCCCACAGTTTGAATGTCTATAATAAATACGTCGTGAGTTGTGGGCGTTACAGACGAACGTTCACCTAATCTGACCCAGTCAATGGGGTATTTTAGCGCGCCAATCAATGGTCTCGTCTACACTGTTTTGCACATGATTCTATATACTATATCTACTTCTAATTATTATACCCTTGGTGAAGATTTGTTCTATATATATAGCAGTAGGGTAAGACTATTCTACAACTGAGCACAAATTGACATACGAATGTAACTGTTACTACTACGAAAAGTCGGGAATATTCACAAACATAGGGAAACCCATTCTACAACTGAGAACAAATTGACATACAAATGTAACTGTTACGACTACTTAAAGTCGGGAATCTTCAAAAACAAAGAGTAACCCATTCTACTACTGAGAACAAATTGGCATACGAATGTAACTGTTATAACTATTAAAAGTTGGGAATCTTTACAAACAAAGGGTATCCCATTCTACAACTTGAAACAAATTGACATACGAATGTAACTGTTATAACTACTAAAAGTTGGGAATCTTTACAAACAAAGGATAACCCATTGCACAACTGAGAACAAATTGACATACGAATGTAACTGTTATAACTATTAAAAGTTGGGAATCTTTACAAACAAAGGGTACCCCATTCTACAACTTGAAACAAATTGACATACGAATGTAACTGTTATAACTACTAAAAGTTGGGAATCTTTACAAACAAAGGATAACCCATTGTACAACTGAGAACAAATTGACATACGAATGTAACTGTTATTACTACTAAAAGTTGGGAATCTTTACAAACAAAGAGTAACCCATTCTACAACTGAGAACAAATTGACATACGAATGTAACTGTTAATACTACTAAAAGTTGAGAATCTTTACAAACAAAGGGTAACCCATTGTACAACTGAGAACAAATTGACATACGAATGTAACTGTTAATACTACTAAAAGTTGGGAATCTTTACAAACAAAGAGTGACCCATTCTACAACTGAGAACAAATTGACATACGAATGTAACTGTTACTACTATTTAAATTTGGGTATCTTTCCAAACAAAGAGTAACCCATTCCTCAACAGAGAATAAATTGACATACGAATGTAACTGTTAATACTACTAAAAGTCGGGAATCTTTACAAACAAAGAGTAACCCATTCTACAACTGAGAAAAAATTGTCATACGAATGTAACTATTACTACTACTAAAAGTCGCGAATCTTTACCAACAAAGGGTTACCCATTCTACAACTGAGAACAAATTGACATACTAATATAACTGCTATAACTACTAAAAGTCGGGAATCCTTACAAACAAATTTATAAACACAAGGTACCGATGTCAGTGGCGTCACCTTTGTTCTGATATTTGCGAATTTCTGATTTTTAACCATATCATAAACTCCAGAAAATCTTCCAGAGAACTGTCAAATGGCATAACTGTTTAAGAAACATTTTCAGGAACAAAATATGTATTTTTAGTTCTTTCAATCAACAATATTTCGATTTTTTTTTTATTTTTTTGTCTCACTTATAATTTTGTGTTGATGAGGTCTGTTATTTTTGTTTCGATTTCCTCACTTGACCCTAAGGGCAATATCATTTTCTTCTCTAAAACAATTTTTGCAATTTTAATCAAACTGCGCAAGAACGATGTATTGAAATTTTCACTTGGTTTCAATCAGAGGAAATCTGTAAAGACAATTTGATAAGCTCTCCTTCTCTGAAAATACAATGTGAAATTTATTGAAATATAAGAATAAGTGATTCCAATTTAATTTTGATCTAGTTGCAAATATGGCGGCATTGGTGGCACGAAGTTCCCTTTTAAAAAAATGGACAATCATAAACTCTATCTTCTTTCCAAAAACCAGTTAGCTTGATTAGGCCAAACGTAGTCTGAATGATGTAAAACCAGTTAGCTTGATTAGGCCAAACGTAGCTTGAATGATGAAACATGTCACGTGATCAAGGTGACCGGTCGTGTTTATATCTGCAGCGAAAAATATCAATATTTTCATAGTTTAAATTTAAAAAGCGTAACTCAAGTTGAACTTTTAGAGTTGTATTAGTGTATAAAAGACTTGATGATGATTCTTAACCAATTTGAATCCAGTTGTATTGAGTGTTTTGATGGAAATCCTCTTAGTCAATTTGGAGCCACGGATTTCGTTCAAACAGAAATGGCGCCAAGTCCAATTGTAAATATAGAGAATAATGTGAGTACTATAACTACTGTAGCTCAGATACATAAACCACATTTAACAACAGTCAATACACCCAGAAAACGTCATTTATCAGAAACAGACTCAGATCATGTACAAAATAAGAAGATGAAGCATTCCAGTATTTCCGCCTCCCCCTCCTCGCATTTACCAACCTCTGACAACACTCATTTAAATGCCATTGTTTAAATGATTAGCAACTTATCAGACAATTTCAATAGTGTAGCTAGCAGGTTATAGAGCAGAATTTCTGAAATTGAGGGAAATGTGGAAAAACGCCTAACTGTTAAATTCAACAACGTTATTCATGATAAAGTAAAAAAAGTGAAGTAGGTAAATTGAAAGACCAAATTTCTACTGAAGTTAACGAATTATAAGAAAAGGTTGTTTCGCTTGGAAAATCATATGCAGAAGTTGCGGCATCTAGCGGTAATTTATTAACTCTGAACTAAAAGACCAACAACAGCTTTATAATAGTGTTATTGTGAAAAACCTGCCCTTCGACAAACGAGAAGAAAATGAAAATTCAATACTTAAAAATAAGGTTTCAGCTTTATTAAAGGATGGCCTGAAACTGGCAGATATAAATGTTGCTAAAGTAATCAGGAAAACTAGCAGATCTGACAATAAACCGGGTATTGTGGTAATAACTTTCGCTACTATAGAACATAAGAAAGGTGAATTGAAAGCTAAACGTGTACTGACAATAACAATCGTACACTATTAAAAGCCTTAAGCAGGGAGAACGATTTCATGATTAAATCTGGACGTGTAGTGAGGAAACAGTCTGATGATACTAGTGTTCACAATTTGCCTCAAGTCAATGATCAACGAGTAAACAATTATCCACACACCCGTAACGATAGAAATAGACATAATGATCGAGATCAACATCCTGACTATTCGAATGGATGGCAGAGTTACGAAGGTAGGCGTGACCGTGGGAAGCGGTATTAGTTAATTTGCAGGTTTTGGAACATTAATGGGTGGAGCAAAACTGTAAATAGTGAAAAGAATTTTATGCTAGCTTCATGCATACATAAACGTTATTTGCATATATTAGGGTTGGCCGAAACTCACGTGATTGGTCAATCAGTTGTTGGTATTGAAGGTTACACGTGGTTTGGACATAACCGTAAACATATACACGTGCGTGCAAGAACGGGATCGGGAGGTGTTGGCGTATTAGTACGAAACGATGTTTTAGTGAACTATAATGTTGATAAAGTGAATGATTCTGTTGATGGAATTTTATGGATACGTTTTTCGGAAATAAACAATCCGGAGTCGTCCTTTTATATATGTGTGGTATATTTACCTCCAGAAAACTCAGCACGATCGGTGAATATCTATGATTTTTTAGACTCGCTTTCTTCTAATATATATACAATCCCATTTTACAGTAGTCCATTTTATTTGTTTGGAGATTGGAACAGTCGAGTGTCCGATATACCTGATTTTATAGAAGGGATAGATATTTTACCCGAGCGAAATGTTGTTTATTTTACTAACAACAGTTACGGAGACATTGGAATGACAACCTAACAGTACTATGGAATGAAGTGTGTGCAGCGGAACGTATTTGGCGTATAAATCATAACAGTAACCATGGTAACGAAAGGAAAAGTGCACGTCATGTATTTGTGAAGAAACGTTAAACTTTTGAAAAAAACTGTCAACAAGCGAAAAGACAGTACTGGTACCGTAGTCAAGAAGAACTCTGTGCCGTCCAAAATAATGAGCCCCGGGAATTCTGGAAGAAAATAGGAAGAATTGGCGTTGGAAATGAAAGACAGAAGTGCATTCCGATGGAAGTTTTACAAGATGGCGGTTCAATTTGTACTAATACTGTAGTCTCGATCACCCAGACGCATTATGAATATAGCGTCTGGATTATTGTATCTTTGGATTTCGTCCCTAGATGGCGTAATAAAATTTGGTAATGACCGTGACCACGTTTTGCCGGAAGGTAAACACATCAGGAATATTGACATCACATGTGGCAGTTGTTAACCATAGTTTTAGTCTAAATTGAGACGTTTAAGACAAGCATGGAAACTAGACACTGACTGTTATCTAATCAGGATAAAGGTGGGTTCATGTTTACTAAAGGGATAGGAATAGGGAAATGGTAGTTATTTTTACACACATGTATAGTTACATGTATATACATGTATCATATAGGGTGTACAAAAAGTCATATAAGTTGTAATAACAACTAGTATCATAAAATAAAATGTTTGACAAGACAAGTTATCCTCATTGTATGGGCTATGCCATTTAGATTATGCATAGTGTGGTCATAAATTCAATAAAAAAACATGCATAGTATGAATTCTTATAATGTACGAAAATAAATAACTGGCGATATATCCACAACAGAGTAAAGAGGATCGTATTCATGGTAACTTTATGATAAATAAAGGTAAAAAAATATTGCCAAATAATGTTAGCGGTAATTTTATGTGCATGAGGATTAAATGTACGTACACTTTCTTTAAGACGATGAAAAAAAATCAACTGATTTGGTGATGTCATGTACATTTTCATCAAAAAGTAATGTAACTCATAATTATTTGAGACCCTAGATGAATGACAACAATGAACAAAGATATTTTGACGAATCGCTATAAAATGTTAACAAATTTGATGCCAATGGTAGAAGAAATTTACTGTTTGATGCAAGACTGTGAAGGGCATTAGTACACCAGTGTTGACATGTAGTTCTAAAAATTGTCATTATTTGCAACTCCCTTCAGGAAGTATAAATCATTGCTCAAGAGTGGCATCACATTGGCTAAGAGGAATGTTGATGCAGTTCTTAAAGGAGTCTAGGTGACCGGTCAAAATTTCAGACTTCTGTCAAACATTCCTTCATTTTCAAGTAACAGAATCACGTGACATTCAAACCTTCCCCTTGTCGAATGCACTTTGCATAACCTAATGTTAATTTGTTCTTGTCTTAAATACAATATGAAATATTTGCCACTGGACATTATGCAAACAACAATTCATCAAGCAAATTACAGATCTATACAAGATTGATAATATCATATTGTTAGATGTGTCAATTGCCTTACCTTAAGACATTGCATTATCTGATTATTCATCAACCATGTCAACCTTTATATAGAATTATAATATGTTATTGTACATTCAAGGGGCTGCTGTGAACATTCAACCAAGCTGACTATCAAACTAGTCATGTAAGTATAAACACTAATAAAGGGTAAGAAACGAAAAAGCTTATATAAATATAAAATTATACCATGTATAATGCTGGCTGGTAAATAACTTCATTTGATGTTACAATGTACTTAATTCAGCTGTAATGAAATGCAGACTTGCATGTATTGTTCCTGACTGTGTATTATAATACCAATAGTTACACACCTATTATAAAATCACAAAACATGATCCAATAAAATGGAGACAATTTTCCATGATAAAAATATAAAGTTGTGTCCTACAAGCCGCTCATATTTGTTTTATTAATACATCTCAGAAAATATAAACAAAAGTATTACAAATTCCTGTAACATACATTTTGGACATGTAAGAGTTCATTGATTACATGAAATTACTTAAACTTTAACATGTTTAAGAGGATTACCTTGCTACAACGATATGATTTTTAAATTCTATGAATGCACATTGAATTGTATACAATTTCAAACAAAGGTATGAAAGCTTAGGTTCTTGAGCTTTGTGAAATTAACAATTAAACAAATACAGGTTTACCATTATTACAATTGTTTATTGTCTTAAAAGGCTGAATAGTATTGAGAATGAAATAAAAAATATATCAGACCAACAGTATACAGTGTATTATAACTATTTAAGCATAAATTATATGCATTTAGTTGCATCTAAATAGTAAAATACTGACATACATGTATTAAATTCTTTTCCAGGTCAATAGTCTGTATTGAATGGCTGCAGAAAAACAAACAATATGCAAATGTATATACAGGAATGAAGAGACCTCACAGATAACTGACTGTCATTGGGTAATTTGTATTATTAAAAGAAAACTGAGAATGGAAACGGGGAATGTGTCACAGACACAACAACCTGATGAAAGAGCATAAAAACAGGCGAAGGCCTCCAATAGGTCTTCAACACAGCGAGAAAATCCAGCACCCTGAGGCTTGCTTCAGCTGGCTCCTAAAAAATTGTACTAGTTCAGTGAAAACTAGATATCATTGAGATGGGAGCCATCTCTGTGGGCCCTGCTGTAAATAATGTGTGGTAAAAATTTGTATCTTTATCATTGGACAATCGTTGTCAACTGAAACCAAAGTTTTTGACCTTGACCTTTGACCTAGGAAGTTGTACATAAATTATGACACACCCTCTGGTGTTAGTTTATATACATGTCAAGTATAAACTTTGAAATAACGGTTCTCAAGATATAGAGCGTACACGATCTTTACAATAGGACATGGGGTTGTCAACTATAATCAAAGTTTTTGACCTTGACCTTTGACCTAGAAAGTTGAACATAAATTATGACACACCCTCTGGTGTTGGTTTATATACATGTCAATTACAAACTTTGAAATCATAATAGTTCTCAAGATATAGAGCGGACACGATCTTTACCATAGGAAATGGGGTTGTCAACTAAAACAAGTTTTTGACCTTGACCTTTGACCTAGGAAATTGTACATACATTATGACACACCCTCTGGTGTTGGTTGATATGCATGTCAAGTATAAACTTTGAAATCATAACGGTTCTCTAGATATAAAGCGGACACAACTTGAAAGGACGGACAGACCGACGGACGGACGCACAGACTGATCACTATAGGGCGTCCGCCATTTGGCGGGGCCCTAATGAACGTCATACTTGAATCAGAAAAATATGAATAAACTAAAATTAAAAATCATACCACACTAACAAAGGCCAGAGGCTTCTGACTTGGGACAGGTGCAAAAATTTGGCAGGTTAAACATGTTTTATGAGATCTCATACCTCTAGCCAATGTAGAAAAACACACACAGCAATACGCACAGTAAATCTCAGTTTAAAAGAAGTCGTAGTCTAATGTCAAAATAGGTAACACAAGAAACTTAGCAAAATAACAATGATACTTAAATTATTAACAAAGGACTACTAGCATGACTAGCAGTTACTGACATGTTCATCAGACATATATATATGTAAGCTTACTTCTGTTTCTAAGCAACTTTTTTTATCATATGAAATATATCTTGAATATCTTGTACAAATGGTTTGTTTTAATTTTAAAAAATGTACTTTTAATTAATAGGACATGAATTGCCAATAAGAAAATATAATTTCTTTGGTTTTATTCCAAAACAGATACCGGTACATGTATGACTAAATGTTTTTGAACCTTGCATATTGACTTGAACTTGTTTCTTAGCTTTGCAAAATTACTTCAATTCTAAAAAATGTATACCGGTAGTCTGGTAGATATATATATTGACCTCATAAAATAATGCATGTTATTAAATTAAGGCAAATTATATTTCAGTAAGACTTTCCTATCCAATACAAGTACATTTTGTATTTCATCTTGGAAGAAGCAAAAAACAACAGGTCTGACGATGGTGACATGTCAAATTAATCTAACAGGTAACACATATTGTTTTAAAGGCTTTTCAATTAGATAAACTTATCATGCTGATGATAGAATAATAGATACATGCATGCATATTGGGACCAGGGAAGACAATGATAATGTAAGTGAAATTCTCAATTGGATTCTATCAGTTGTAACCCTATAATGAATAGGAATAAAATGTACAGTGATGCTATGCTAGTTTAGTCAAATATAATAATGGATTATACCCAGATTTTGGTTAAATATAGCCTCGTTTTGTTGTGCTTGATATCCTGTAAATTTTTGATATACTAAGATAATTAAGTTAAAACTTACAGATATTTACTCCAACAAAAATAATACCTTTTTACAACCAGTACATATATATACATTTTAAATTGAGAGTCAGAAAGCAGAAGTCTAAAAAAAACAATGCACAAAACCAGACAAATTGAAATAAATGCACGAGATAGGTGTGTTGAAAAACAAAAGAAATGTTTCTCTGTTTAAGAGTTATAATCAGTTATTTTATGGACTACAAACACAATGCAAACCCGCTTAAAACCCAGGTTTCACCAGGTGTTGTGGAAGAGTAAGCATAAACTGCTAATATCTGAAAAGTTCATAACTATCTGTCATTCTGTAACATTGTCAAAGCTGGTAAATTAGCCATACTTGGTAAAGAATAAAGATTATTTACACAATGAAATTAAATATAAAGTTTGGTTTACGAAAATAAATTTGTAATTATACATATTTCTGTTTCCTATAAACTAGTAACAATTACCAGGATAATTGTATAGTTCTGAGTATTTTGTCAAACATCTATACTTATAATAACATTCCCTTAATATTTGGGTACAGAATTGTGAGTAAAACCCTTAAAAGTATGAATTTTTCTATCATCAATTGTGCGTGTAAAACACTCATATACATGTTATAACAATTAGCCACTTCAGGATATCTATAACAAAAAAATGTTGTATAATCTAAAATTCTGAATATAAGTTACCACAGTTTTTACTTTTGCTTTTCAGATACTAGTGAGGAAATCAAGAAACAAGAGTAGACACCATGAGACCATTTGTGCTTACAATACTAGTGCAACAATTGTGGTTGATGTCCATATCATATTGTATTATGATAATACATTACAGCGTCCACAGAAAAATTATCATCTTGGTCGTCAATGCCTCTCATTTCTTAATAAATTGCATTTCTTATATTAGGGTTGTATGATTTTCTAGAATGACTTTATTGTTTTTTAATATTGGATTAAATGTTGAAAAACAAATGACAAAAAAACTTCAATTGCTGATTGAAGTGGAAGTACTTTTTAAATAATTAGTATTGTGTTTTAGTGAATTAAGAAACATATTCCTTTCCATATACATGATAAATGTTTCTTGTTTATTTTAAATACATGTATATCATTTCTTTAATTCTGTATCTAATAGGATTATCAGGAAAAAGATAATATTTGAATCCTAGACTGGAGTAAGTTTTGATATTTATAGGAGAAATAATAACAAATCAATATTTGATTGATTATTTTACAGACTCAGAAAAATTTAAAGTACATTTAAGCACTTTATCACAAGACCATGAAAATAATTTTGCTGTACCTTTTTATTTTATTTAGTTTTCATTGTTTTTAACCCACTAATTTTTACAATCTATATCATCAAGGATAAACAAAAATACCATTTGAAACTAGAAACACTTTTATCATCTTAAAATTTGCATTTTAATTGATACTAAACCCAAAGATAATGAAGAAAGAGCACTATCATGTGTACCTTAATTTGATTCTGAAAAATAATCATTACATTAAACGCTTAAAATTGTAAGATAGAGATATGACATGATTGCCACTGAGACTTATATCCGATAGAGTCCAAATATTGTGGATTCAATTAAAAGGTCACCTTCAACAATGAACCAAATCCATAGCATAAGCTTTAAAAGGCTCTGACATGTCAAAAAAACATCATGTAAAACTAACTCATATTTCTAAGGTACTGTATGTTCAGTTATTATGATGAAGAAAATAAGTGGCATTCCAGTCTATGTCATGGGCAAAAAGACCATCTAGGAGTTTTCCAAATGCCCACTTTGGACAGTCAGAAGACAGATAGGAATAACAAAAACTTCTCGAGTTTTGAATATATAAAATTGGGAATGTAGATGGGGAAGTGTCAAAGAGACAACAACCCAACCAAAGAAAAGAAAACAGCCAGAGGACACCAATGCTTCTTCAAAACAGCGAGAAAATCCAGCACCCTGAGGCAGGCTTCAGCTGGCCCCTAAACAAAAATGTGCACTAGTTCAGTAAAAATGGACGGCATACAAAACTAAAAAACATATAAATAAACTAAAATTGACAATCATACAAGGACTACCAGTATATAACATGTAAAAAAAAAAAAAAAGGAAATGAGGTGATTCCCAATGAGAAAATTATCAACCAAAGTTTAAATAAAGTGGCTGTTAGCAATTATAGGCAACTGTGTAGCCTCCAACAATGAGAAAAACTCATATCATATAGTCTGCTATTAAAGGCCCAGTCATGTTAAAATGATGTGAACAATTCAATTGAGAAATTGAAGGCCGTTTTTATAACAAAATATAATTAACCAATGACATACATGAACCAACGACAACCACTGAACTAAAAGCTCCAGACTGTCAAGGGGAAACAAAACCAATTAATTTGAAAGCATGCCTTTTATGGCTTTTTTTTGTAATTACCCAGCTATCTATCTAATTGCAGACCGTGGAAATTGTAATAATACATAAAAGGCTATCAGGAACTATGATAATGAAAAAATAAGTCAAAACACTTGACCAAACAAACAAATAACTCCCCAGAAAATAAAAACAAATATAGGAGTAACATAATTAGTGTCGCATGTGGAGAAGGATCTGTTAGCCCATCAGGATCACCTGAGGTGAACCTTAGTTTTTGGTTGTGTTTGTGTTGCTTTCTTCGTTCTGTTGTGTACCTGTGTACTGTTGTTTGTCTTTTGGTCTTTTTCTTTATTTGCCTTGGCATTGTCAGTTTATTTTCAACTTATAAGTTTGAATGTGTGTCTGGTATCTTTCGCCTCTCTTTTATTTTGATATGAAACTAAACATTTCAGATTAGTTGACTATATATACTAGGAAAAGTAATAACCTACCGGTAGTACATGTAAACTGAATTACATGTAGTAAGTCTATCAAGCCTCTAGTCGGCCTTTTTGTTGGAGGATGTATAATTAAAGTCCTAGTTTAAGTTTTAAAAAAATTGCAATGAATAACAATATAGTAGAAGGTAGGTCAACAAATACCATCTCACTTGATGTGGCTATATGTCGAATTATGTTAAATTGAAGGGCATGCAAATAAATAAGAATTTCCTGTACTTTTTGTTAAACCATTCACAGCCTAATAAAATCTGGTGAAATTCTGTTGATTGATGTGCAACTCAGTATATTATATAAAGGCATACGACTACAATTCACACATATGCACAGTACATAAAATCATGAGTTACTAAGAAGAAAGTTGACATCAATGCCATCAAGGACTATTATACTAAGTTAGTATAATAGTTCCAGATGCAATACTGCTTTGCTCTACAAAATAAAACATATTCATTATTACATTAAATACTGAATCATCTGTGTAAATAATTGACTACATATAATAAAGTCTGCGGTCACAATCAAATCAAATAAAACCTTGTAAAGCTGTTGTATACTTGCAGCGCTATATTCATATAAACGGATAATGTTGAAAATAGTATTACCACGGTAACAAACAAATACAGTTTAAAGGCTTTTAAATCAAAGCGGATTGACTGAACAGAAGACCAAGTACGGTACACAAGCTCCATACAAATTAATGTAAAATAATGTTTAGCGAAGGAAGGCACCAAAGAAAAAAGATCAAAAAGCCTTTCAAGACGTCATAACTATTTGGACTAGCCTAATCCTATATTCATGGCATCAAAGCAAAAAAAATTATTATATTAAGATAATTTAAAACCTTATAGGCATCACAATTATTTGGACTATTGACTAGTGTACTGGTTGGGAACGACCCCCAAAATGATTCATTATATTTGGTTCCAGGAACCCCTTTTCTATTGACAACACACTAATGAAACCATGACCATTTAACACGTATGTGCTAACTGCATGTTGATGTTCTTTTTCTTTGCTTGAAGTCGATAAAACCAAGCACTCATGGAGGCTGCCATTTTGGATGTTGTGGGTCAACATATCATTTCGGATACTATCGGTAGTCTTCATAGGTCCAGGAATAACCCAAATTGTTCCGAATCTCTGACAGAAATCTGACATAAGATTTTTTACCATTGCGATAACCCAGACGTTTGATTTATAAAATTCAAGCGTCTGGGTAACTGAGACTACTAATACTGATGTAGTTTTAAATAAATGGAAAATTTCTTTTGATAATTTATTGAATTGTGAAGATAAAGATAACTTGTCTAATGAAAGTATAACAAACGATATTTCAGTTGAATTTTTAGATTGTGAAATTAGTATTGACGAAGTTATAAATGTATTGATTAAAGCAAAAAATGGCAAAGCGCCAGGTATTGATTTGATACCTGTAGAATTGTATAGAAATGATATATTATTACGTGTTTTACATAATTTATTTAATAAGTGTTTCAAATTTGGTAAATTCCCTTCCGTGTGGAGTAAAGGGATAATAACACCTATACCTAAGTGTTCTACATCAGACACTAGGGATCCTTTGTCATATCGGGGCATTACATTAGCCCCATGTATTTATAAACTGTTTTGTAGCATTTTGAATAATAGACTTGTATCTTGGTTAGAAACTAAAAATGTTATAAATGATGAGCAAAATGGTTTTCGTTCTGGTAGAAGTACTATTGATCATTTGAGTACGCTTACATCTATTATTGAAACCAGAAAATTACGAAAATTATCTACGTTTGCAGTGTTTGTAGATTTTAAAAAGGTATATGACACGGTTAATAGAAATTTATTGTTTAATGATCTTGATGATCTTGGTATAAGTAAACATTTTTTGTGTGTTATTAAAGCTATTTATTCTCAAGTTGAATGTGCTATTAAACTAAATGGGAATATGACTGAATGGTTTAGTGTTAATTCAGGCCTAAAACAAGGCTGTGTTTTGTCTCCAATATTGTTCAATATTTTTAGAAACCGCTTAGTTTCAGATATTCAAGCATTAGATATTGGTATTGATATTGATGGTGAATTAGTTGGTATTTTATTATAGGCAGATGACATTGTTCTGATTGCAGAGAATGGAAACGATTTGCAATTACTCTTAGATGTTTTAAATACATGGTGTAAAAATAAGTTATTAAATATTAATCACGAGAAAACTAAAATTGTACATTTTCGAAATCCGTCTGTACAACAGACAAAAACATTATTCTTATTTAATGATAAGCAAATATGTATTGTACAAAGCTATCAATAGCTGGGTTTACTTTTAACTGCTTTTTTAAACTATGATGTAATGGCTAAAGCTGTAGCCAAGTCAGCTAACAGGGCATTAAGTTTGATTATTGTAAAGAGTAAGGCACATGGAGGTTTCCAGTACAGTACATTTACTAAACTATTTGATACCCTGGTCTGGCCTGTTATAAGTTATGGTGCAGCCATTTGGGGCACCAGCGATTTTTCGTGTATTAATGCTGTCCAGAACAGAGATATCAGGTCTTTTTATGGGTGTGGGTAAATATACCCCGAACGATGCAATCCAAGGGGATATGGGCTGGAAACCTCCGAGTGTTAAGCAGTGGACTTGTGTTTTTCGACACTGGGCTAGATGTAACATAATGTGCAGAGATAGATTGAATTATAGAATATTTAAATGGTGTTACAGTAATGCTCTTAATAAGAGACGAAATTGGTGTTTTAGGATTATGTCTAAGTTTAAAGAATGTAATTTAGATTTCTATGTTAATTTAAGTAATGTATTGTATAAACAAGAGATTACACAGATAGAAGAAGTTGTATTTGATAATTATATAGAAAACTGACAAAATAGAATATTGACACAAAATGTTGGTAAAAAATTACGGACTTATAAATTGTTTAAAGACAGTTATGGAAGTGAATTATATTTATCTAAAAATTTATCGTATAGATATAGAAGTGCATTTGCAAAATTTAGATGCGGAGTAGCTCCTTTGAGAATCGAAACAGG